AATAATAATAATAATAATAATAATAATAATAATAATAATAATAATAATAATAATAAAGTTCGAAGGGACCTTGGAGATCATCAAGTCCAACCCCCTGCTCAGGCAGGTAACCCTATACCATTTCGGACAAATGGCTGTCCAGTCTCTTCTTAAAAACTTCCAGTGTTGGAGCATTCACTGCTTCTGGAGACAGGTTGTTCCACTGGTTAATTGTTCTAACTGTCAGGAAGTTTCTCCTTAGTTCTAGGTTGCTTCTCTCCTTTTGCAAAAGACATGCAGAGACTGAATTCAATTCCTATAGTATATGTATGTGCATTTTGCCTCCTTCAAGGAAAAATAGGGTTTATCTCGATCAACCAGAATTTGGATAAACCACAACTTATATTCACCAGAGATTGTGTTATATCTGCTTTCCCTTTTTCCTCTTACTAATACTTAATACATTCCTGGATGTGTCCGTACTAGTACCAGCATTGAAGAAAGCAACTGCATTTTTGAAAGAAATGCATCACAAGTATGTTTGTTCTGCTTGATTGTTTTACTTAACTTTTTTTGGGGGGGGGGAAGAAACTTGTTTGGCAGCTGTTTTTCTTGCTGCAGTTTAGAACTGTATGCCATCTACCTCAATTTCAAAGATTGCTTGCCCATCCTGAAATTCACTATATAAAACTGTGTGCAGTTATGCTGACAACAGGGGTTTGTGCTCGAACCAGAATCAAGCTTAGAAATCCTCTGATCAAATAATTCATCCATCCACCCACTGTCAGTTTTCCTTCAAATGTTCCTTTTCACCTACTAATTTTACATGGAAAGAGTATTTTACCTACTGCCGTTATTAACTAACTGGGAATCAGAAATCTGCATTAACCTACAATAAAGCTTTTTCAAATCTGTCAGTAGATTGCAGTCTACAATGCCTTCTACCTGTCCCTGCAGCAAAGCAACCTACATTTTCTGAATTAATTAATCTGTCTTAAGCAAAGTAGTAAATGGTATTTGTTGCTTCCCAAGTTAAAGTGTTCAGTATCCAAATCAGTTAAAAGTTTTGTGGTTACTTGTGTCTGAGAAAAGGAAAAAGGGAAAAATCCCTCTTTGTCTTTATTAACAGTCCTCTTTTGTGACATCTAAAATGATCTTCATCATACAGAAATTTTGTGCTGGCTCTCTGCTTCTCAGTACTGTGCAGTACACAGTATTTCCCCTATGTAAAGTATGAAAGTCTATCATCCCCAGAGGCAAGAATAGAAAATGGCAACTCTCAAGCTTGTCTTGGTGCTTGCCTAGGACCAAAAATTGGCAACGGAAGCATTTCAGAACAAAAATAGAGATGCAAGTTCCAAGATGTACAGAAGGACATCATTACCACCCAATCCCTTTTGAAAGCCCAGCTACAATACTGGCAGTCTTTAGTTGTTTACAAACTCAGTGGGTCATATAATAAATAAAAAAAAGGGAGAACAATTATCCAGGATCACAAGAAATAGTAGTTAAATTCAAATATCACAAATACAATTGCTGGGCTTGATAATGAGGTCTCAGTAATGAACAACTGAATCAGTTGAGGGCCATGTTCAGAAAGAATAGTTCTCATTAGATTTCTGGCAGTAACTTGTGCAAGTTCTTGTCCTTCATATGGATGTTTCCTTGAGTAAGATCAATACAGACAAGTGCACTGTTACGCAAGCCCTGCCACTGTATACTCAATTGGGTTTTTAAGAAAGGTAAACCTTAGCAGGATAAAACTGTTTCAACTCAAGAGTCACTTTGGTCTGTGGGTGTACTGGGAGCCACACTCCCAAAAGTGGGGGAAAACAGTTTTACTTGGTTCTTTTCATGAAAGCTGAAGTATTTAAATATAGACTTAATATGATTGTTGCTCATGTATACTAAATAACAATTTCTCCCTTCATTGCTATTGACTTCTGGGGATGAGGGGCTGGATTGGAGCCACCACAAGAATTCATTAAGTGGCATATGGCTCTGGAGCTACAACCCGTGCATTTTTAAATGCAAACCATGGTTTGTTGTGATGTTTCAATCGAATCAGTATAAGGGGGCAGTTACGTTAGCATAACTGCCCCCTTACAATATATTCCCAATATTCTCTAGACCTTTAAGAAATGTGCTGATTAGTAATAATAATCCCAAAACAGCTACAGCACCTCTTGAACATTGTTGGCATTGACAAAATCACTCTCAGTCAATTGCAAAAGGTAGCTTTACTTGGAACAGCTTACATTCTGCGATGGAGACCTTTTAACACAATCAAATAACATCTGCCTATTCCAAGTGTTTGGGATAGGTGGATAAAATGCCAAATCTAGTTTAACATCTGGCTGACTGTCACCAACTGTGACAATAATAATACAACATCTTTTTTTCCAAAGGGAAAAAAATCATAAATAGGGTCCTAGGTATAATATGTGTCAAGGCATGTTGCAGTGCCACAAGGCATTCCCCAATAATTTTTTTAAAATGTGTGAAAGAGTTGACATTTGTTAAAGAAAACTTTAACCTAGCTGATCAGAACAGCTGAACTTTGCTCTCATTTGTTTCTATTTACTGATAGCCTGCTGTAAATTTTCCTGTGGGCTATATAGAGATATCCTTCTTTTGCAGTCAATACATAATCAAGGCTGAGCTTTTAACTAGCATGCTCAATATGTCCAAGATAAATATATATATATATTATCAAAATGTAGCAGAAACTTTAACTTACAATGTAAAATATGTTAATAGCACAGCTTGCATTAAGAAACAAATTGCCTTGTCCCTTCGTTAATCAAAAGTAGTCTCCTGAAGGCTATGTGTATATTTTAAAAACAACATAAATGCAGGGAAAAGAGAGAGAAGGGGGAGAATTGCTGGCTCTTCTTGTTCACATCCGTTCTGGGCAGTTGTGACTGTCAACATTTTCCTCTTACAAGCTTCTCTTTCCCCTGCATTCTTCGGTGAAAGTGAAAACATAGCTCTTTCAAACATGTTAACAGTGAAAATGTTTCTGTAACATGACATTGCTCCCAAGAGCCAGATAGATAAGGAAACATTAATCATGGATACATCGTCTGTACTAGTTAAACCTATCTTAATGGTCCTTTATAAAAATATTTGTACCATTTTGTCAGTCCACAAACCCTCTAGCCCTATTATCACATAAAGACTATAGATAATAAAAAGTAGACTAAAGAACTGAGGACTAGTTTCCCAAAATAATACACCAAACACCTTCCTTTACGATTTTAGACCTATAAGATGAAAAATGCAGATGAAAAAAATTTGGTTGTTGGGATTAGGGCCAATTAAAGATCAGAAAGCCAACTCCTCAGTTTCACAACACGGTTGGTTGGACTCAAAAACAAAATTAGGGTGGGAAAAGCAGGAAGAAAATAAAAGCCTTTTAACTATAATAAAGAGGTACCCTACCCTTTGATTTCTCCTCTTTTCTATTCTTCATTATTTCTGGATCTAAGAAACTTATATTTTCCAGGTTTCTTCATACCCTTTTCAAGATGGTTTCCAATTTGTTGCCTTGTGAAATTATCAAGTTACATCCAGTGCATGGCTTCTTTTCTCCAGGAGTCTTCAAATATCCTTCAATGGTCATTCAGAAGAAAAAGGAACAACTAGCAATCCCAATCCAGGTGTTGCTGGCAAGATTGATTACTTCTAAATGTTTAAAACAACCCATTTTCTATTTGGCTTTCTTCCACGTTCGGTTCTGTCAACTGCAAGCCTCCGGATTCCTAAATCAAAACAAGACTACAATTGCTTTCACTTTTATTTTTGCACTGTTTTATGTCCTGGTTCAGAAAGAGAAACAAAAAAGGATGTTCACAGAGGGGAAATGTTTGAGGAACCTGCGTTAATCTGAGCTACAACTCTGAATTTAATTTTAATATTATGATACTGTTGAGATCACAAAAATATTTGCATTTACAGAAATAATTCTTAGTGGGACAAAGCTATTAATTTTAACTCAATTTTTACTATCTTGATTCTCTGCTGACTATAATTGAAACCCTTTCACTCGCATCATTATAGGCACACATATACATGGAAGTTACTGAATGAATGTAGATATTATTCATTTCCATAGTAATTTATAGTAAAGGGCACTGACAATTCAGAAATTTTATTCTACTCTCTAGACCAGGGATAGGCAACCCTGGCTCTTTTATGACTCGTGGCTGGCTCAGGAATTCTGGGAGTTGAAGTCCACCAGTCATAAAAGAGCCAAGGTTGCCTACCCCTGCTCTAGACAAACAGACAAATATTAAAAAGAAAAGTAAATCTCCATACCATAGTTCCATAACTGCATTTCCATAGTCTCATTTTAAAAGGTGTCTCAAAACCAGAGATGGAGAACATTGTGCTTTTGCAGAGTCCTGAAGAGAACTCTCAGCATTGCACAGTACTAGAAGGTGGACTGCTAGCAACATCTGGATAACCAGCCCTGCTCCAGGCCTCCATCCTCTTCCTGGAACTCCCCACTAAACCTTAAAACAAGCACTGTATATTTGGCGTCCAGAGGGAGAAAAATAACTTGTCTTGCTTGTCTTCAATCACCCATGATGAAAAATGCAACCTGTAAAGTTTGATGGAAAATGATGATGGAGAAGAATATTTGTAGCTCAGGGTTGAAATGAGGGGTCTTTGGTTCTCTCTGAGCTTAGTTGTTTCCTTGCATAAGTTTCATTATCCAAACTAGGTAACATCATCAATGCTGGTGCAGGATCCACCCCCACAGCGAAACGTGTAAATCCCAGGGTACAAATAAAATTCACAAAACCACCAGCATCGTAACGTTTACAATGTTGGTGCATTTGGAAAACTCTGTACAGTTCTGGCTATTGGCCGCTAAAAATGATACAGAAAAGCACGATGAAAATGATCAAGAATTTTGGGAAATTCTCCTATGAGGTTTTCAAATTTGGGATTTTTGTTTGTTTGTTTAGAGCAAATGTGAGAGAGGCAGACAACATTTTCAAAAGAGTAACATATTTTCCCAAGGAAATAAATTGATTTTTATTTTGAATCAGTATGACGTCCCAATATTAAAATATGTTATAAATAAAGCGTTTCAGAATTACTATTCAAGATTTGAAGACAAAACATCTGATAAAATGCAACTCCACATCCAAAGGCCACAGACCTGGGAATATTTTTAAGGCACATAAATCTGTCAAGAGATTCTTTTATGTTCTACTATCTTTTTAAAAGAGTACAAGAGATACTATTATTTTCTTCATAAACTCTGTCGACTCCAGTTGGTAGTTTGCATGGCTGTAAGGCTGACAACCTGGTTTTCAAAGAAACATTGTGGAATACTTGTTGAAGAGATGAAATCCAATAGTATCTCAGAAAAACTAAAGTAAGAAAGGCTTTTAGAAAGAAATGCTGAAAACCTATCACGTATTGCTGAGTAAGATTTCATTATGTTTTCAAAACAGATCAGATCAAGCAAGTAGTTCTAGCGTGCTCTGCATGGTGTTACAACAACATCTAGGAGATTCCTTTAACTAGATAGTTACTACCTTGATAAGATGCTATGCATACATGTCCTTATTGAGAAAATAGCAAGTTCAAGGAATTGGGTGTAACAATCTGAGTATGGACAATCTACAATGCTTCCATACATTTATTTGAAATATTTATATTCTCTGCATCTATCAGAAGCAAAAGTGCTTATATAGTTCAGTATATTTATGTGTCATTTTTGCTAAAGAGGTTTAAAGCAACCAACAAGTTATCACAGAAGCACAGCTTGATATTATATCAGATTTATTAATCTGTGTAAAATTCATTGCACTATGCATCATAAAAATCATTTAATTCTTTTAATAATATAATATGCAAAAGAAAAGCATATAATGCAATTTAGATAGTTCCCAGAATCTATTAATTCTGAGAATTAATTATTTTTTAGTAGATTTGTTCCAACTGTATGGTCAACAACCTTGTTTATAAATGTCATGATACTCATTTTAATCGTTCTCTGCTTACTCCAAAGGCAACAATTAGATTTTTAGGTAAGATGAAGAACCCAGATTGTTACATTCCCATTAAGTATTATAAAATATTTTTATTACATATCTGTATCATTTATTTTATGCAGAGACAGAACAAAACTAAAGAATTTGGAAATACAGATGAGCATGTGCTTCCACAGTCTTTTAGCATCAGAGGAAATTCAATGAACAGTAAAAAGAGTTATAAATGTAATCTAATCTTATTTTTTAATAAAAAATAAACATGTCTAAATAAGGCAAAACTTTATTCCCAGGTGTAAATCAACTGTATATTGTGGCTTTCATTTAAATCCGAAGTAAAGAAATTAATTCTGCAAACAAAACTAATTTGCCAGTGTTTTGCATTAGAACATTTGTTTTTCCATTTCTAAGTCAAATGTGTTCATAAAAAAGAATCAGCTTCAATTTCTTCCCCTTTTATTACATTCAGTCATTTGCATAATTATTTTAGGTCTACTTTGCCAGTTTCTCTCTAACATTTCAAGCTTATTTTTTCTCTCAAGAAAAGAGAAAGCTGGAGTGACAATATCAAAACTCTATTACCTATTTAATGTTTTGCCATTTTGTGTGGCAAAAGTGGTATTAAGACATTTAACTTGCAGCTTGAAGCATCTTTTAAAAATACAGTCTCACAAAAAGGATAGTTGTTACATGTCCTAAAAGTGAACAAAATTCCATATCCAACACTGCTCCATGAAGCAGTTGTTGGCAAAAATCCCATACTGGGATAGAAAGTATCTACATTCTCAAAATGAATGTATTTTTAATAAATATGTTTACCATACTAGGAAAAAAGTGTTTAGGTTAGTCTTTTCTGGAAGCAAATTAAAGGAAATTTTCAAGGTATAATACTGTGAGCAATGCAGCTTCATCAGAATGTTGAGGTCTTTAGAATAACTGAACTGTCTTCTGTATGTTTTGTTCTATTTTGATGTTTCAGTGCTTTTATATTTTTAATTCTGTAAAAAAAAGAAAGGGAAAAAAGACATTCTCATAATATAATCCTCCAAAATAATTCAAACGTATTTCAACTTCATGTTTAAGGAATATGGTTGTTCTTTAATATGCAGTAAATGTGAACATGCCTCGCTTCAAACCAACCTGTGTACAAAGGCATAAATGACTAAAATGTGCATTATGAGGTCAGAAAGATATTAATTCCTAGCATATTTATGCTGAAACATTTTGTGCAAGTACATAAGAAGCAAAATTGTGTAATTTCATTAAACTCTACTCGTACCCCTCCATGAAAGTCTATGGCAACTTGGGAAACCTACTGTAGTTTATATAGGCTTATCATATAATACAAAAATAGCATTCTAGAGACTTATGGAAAACTACCCATTTTGGTTTAATGATTTGGAAAAGATGAGAGAGATGATCTTCACAAAAACCTATCGGCTTTTGTGAAACTCAGGAATGGAGTGAGCATGCTTTGATCATAATAAAAATATATGGTTGGCTTGTTATGTTTAAGCCCGTCTTACCCAAACATCAGCTAACTTCATCTTTTTCAGATGCAAGGAACTTAGAACTAAACCATGCTTTCAATTACTGAAAATGTTATTGGGAAATTGTTGTATAGCTTTAATTTAACAGAACTATGATTTGGTCTCAAAAAGTTAGGAAAGGAACAACTAGAATTTCTCTTGCGTATCATAACACTGTTCCTAGGAATTTATTAATTTCTTAAATGTTAATTTATAATTCACTAAACTTGTATGCTGCTAACTCTCAATGACTCCATGAATTTAGACTCAAATATAATAATACTAATACTAATAATACTAATACTAATAATACTAATAAAGTTGGAAGGGACCTTGGAGGTCATCTAGTCCAACCCCCCGCTCAGGCAGGAAACCCTATACCATTTCAGACAAATGGCTGTCCAGTCTCTTCTTAAAAACTTCCAGTGTTGGAGCATTCACCGCTTCTAGAGGCAGATTGTTCCACTGGTTAGTTGTTCTGTCAGGAAGTTTCTCCTTAGTTCTAGGTTGCTTCTCTCCTTGATTAGTTTCCATCCGTTGCTTCTTGTCCTGCCTTCAGGCACCTTGGAAAATAGATTGACTCCCTCTTCTTTGTGGCAGCCCCTGAGATATTGGAATACTATCATGTCCCCCCCCCCTTATCCTTCTCTTCATTAAACTAGACACACCCAATTCCAGCAGCCTTTCCTTATATGCTTTGGCCTCCAGTCCCCTAAACATCTTTGCTGCTCTTCTCTGTACTCTTTCTAGAGTCTCAACATCTTTTTTACATTGTGGTGACCAAAACTGAATACAGTATTCCAAGTGTGGCCTTACCAAGGCATTGTAAAGTGGTATTAACACTTCACGTGATCTTGATTCTATCTCTCTGTTAATGCAGCCCAGCACTGTGTAGGCCTTTTTGGCAGCTGCAGCACACTGCTGGCTCATATTTAAGTGATTGTCCACTAGGACTCTGAGGTCCCTCTCACAGTTACTACTAATGAGCAAGGTACCCCCTATACTATACCTGTACATTTGGTTTTTCTTGCCTAAATGTAGAACCTTACTTTTTTCACCACTGAATTTCATTTTGTTACATAGTGCCCAGTGTTCAAGTCTGTCCAGATCCTCCTGTATCCTAAGCCTGTCTTCTGGAGCGTTGGCTATTCCTGCCAGCTTGGTGCCATCTGCAAATTTGATGATTTCCCCATCTATCCCCTCGTCCAAATTGTTGATGAAGATGTTGAAGAACACTGGGCCCAAAACAGAACCTTGGGGTACCCCACTACACACTTCCCTCCATGTAGATGCGGTTCCATTGAGGACCACACACTGAGTACAGCCAGTCAGCCAGCTACGGATCCATCTGGTGGTGATGCTGTCTAACCCGCATTTTTCTATCTTATCAAGTAGTAGGTTGTGGTCTACTTTATCAAATGCCTTACTGAAGTCCAAGTAAATTATATCCACAGCATTCCTCTGATCCACTAATTTTGTCACTTGGTTAAAGAATGCAATAAGATTTGTCTGGCATGATCTTCCATTGTATTATTATATTATGCCATTCTTTTAAGTACACTAATAATATTTATGGTAAGAATATATTATGGTATTCTAATATTTTCTGTAATAAATTTCAAATGCTTTTCAAAAACAATCTGCTGCAATATTAGCTGGGATTTCTGCTTATTTCTACTCTGCAACATCCTTACCCTTTAACTCTTAGCATCTGTTCAATAGTGTCTGGGAGAGGAGTGCCATAACTTTCCGGGAGAAAAAAGGTCAGGATTCCTGCAAGCACTGTTAAACTTCCCATTAAGATGTAAGGAAGAAATCTATCATAAGCACCTAGTAGAAAGGACAAGTAGCAATGAGTTATTCATATCAAGTTGCTTAACATTTACATTTCCTAATATTGTGGCTTCGAGGTACTGTTTACATTTATAGATTTATTTGGATCTGATCTGGAAGATGATCATGACTTCCTCAAAATGAAGATCAGAAATGGGGATCAGCTTCTCCATCTCTATACATCTTTCCTAGCAACATATTATAAATGTGTATATACAAAAATGCAAAGATGTTTCAATTCCCACTATGGATGAATGGCTACAGGAGAGATGGCTAAATTGACCGTTTTGATTAAAGAAAAGAATATGAGTACTTTTGTTTCTGCTTGGAGACCGCTTCTGGATTTTGTGCTTGAGATGGGAAAAAAATGAAACTTGGATTTTGGGTTTTACTGATTAGATTGATTTATTCTTACAGAAATGACTAGTTTATACTATTATGGAGAAGTAAAAAGTCGAGGTTCAATGTTAATGCTTCATTCTTCTGCAACAGAGGAAGTTGGAAGTCAATGCCTCTTCTTTTCTTTTTCCCTTCTCCCCCTCATTTTTCTCCTTCTTTTCCCTCCCCACTGTGTCCTACTATTTGCTTTTGTATTTTTGTACTGTATTCTATAATCTAATAAAATGTTACAAATGAAAGGAGAAAAAGAATTGTGTGTGTATATCAGAAACCAGTAAGCGTTCACTGTAATACTAAAAAGCAGGGCATATGATCGAGTTGGCAGAAAATATAACGATAGACAACTTACCAAGATACACAAAATAAGGCGAGAGGATGCTGCCAATTCTGGAAGCCATTGAACTGGCTCCAACTCCCATGTTTCTCACAATAGTTGGGTAGAGTTCAGCAGTATACACATAAACCATGGAGAAGGAGGATGTGATCCCAAACTTTCCAATCATCACGAGGATGATGGACAGAACATGGAGGTCTATAAGCAAGAGCCAAACAAAATGAAATTAAATCTGCCAGTAAATCAATAAAACCAATTGCCTGCCTTTTTTCTCTTCTTCATTTATAGATAATCCTCACTTACCAAGTGCCTCATTCAGCAACCGTTCAAAATTAGGATGGTGCTGTCCCTAAATAACCTGAATGCCACAATCACATGAACACCATTACAGTCAGTATACATTGCCCTGTGCCTGACCTGTTTTTCTTTTTCCCGTCCATTGCAGAGCCGAGACTGGAGAGGAAATGATTACAAGAGAGTAAGATGGCCCACAGTGAGGAATATATTGGCCGTTTGCTGAGCATGCTCACCGTTGCCAGCACCACTGCACTGCTTTCAATGTGTATTCTCCACTGTGTGCCTGTTTAGTCTCTTATAATCTCTTTTTCTTCAATGAATGTAAATACAAACATTAATTCCCTTACTGCTAATTATCCCAATGTCCAGGGAACATTCCAAAGGGCAAGGGAAGTAATTAGGAGTCTGATTAGTTTTAAGCCAGAAACTGAATATTTTTGAACCAACTATCTCAGTGCTGTGGGTGGAGTGGGTGAGCATTCCAAAGGGTGGGGGAATGGAGAAAAGGAAAAGTACAGTCACAATCAAGTGACTTTCCATTTAATGGTCATTTAGCTTAGTAATGGGGTTATGACTCCCAACTGTTGACACTTAATGAGGAATACCCCTATTTTATTATATCTCTATGGTATATTAGCCATTTTATTCTACTTCAGGCAAGAACCTACGTTATCAGATACATCTACTGAAGTAGAATTTCTATTATCATTTTTTTTCTAATAGTGAAATGATATTATCAAATGAAAAATTAATATATTAGAGTTTAATTGCCAGTACAGTAAAGAACAAATAAATAAAAATCAGAATTACAGCACATCTTTTTTTAATATCACTAGAGAAACAAAATGAACACAAAATGAAGTAGGTCTGCAACATATCTCTGTGTATCGTAGCATTATTATGCAAAAGTGCTTTTTTTAAAAAAAACCTTAGTTGGCTATCCCCATTGATTATATCTATAAAGTGTCAAAAAAAAATAATCTTACGTGCAGGCACAAACTGAATGAAAAGAAGAACGCAGCCTCCTAAGAACAAGACTCCTGCCATTGAATAACGCCGAGGCAGATGCTGAAGGAGCAGCCAAGAGATAGTATAAGCTGGGATTTCAATTACTGCTGAAAGGAAACAATTGAGGTAGATGTCTCCATGCAAGTTAGGGGTATCCAGAGAAAGGCCAAAGTAGCCTATGGAAATCACCATCCTGAAAGACAGATCTAGGTGATAACAAACATATAGGGGCAATGACACTATTCTGCATGGGACTTGAGTGGGTAGACTTTGCAACCAGCGGGCATTACCTTTGCGCACTTTACAGCCAGTTTCCAAAAAGCAGAGTCAATAGAGAAGCCAGCAACAAAACTGCAAGTCATGTCCACATGTCTCACCCAACGACTATCGGTAATTTGCTTAACGATCACGGTGGAAGAGAGATTGTAAGTCTGTTGTGGCCATGTGATGTTTTGCTAATGATTGCATCACTTAGTGACGGGGTTGCCAGTCCCAATTGTGGCTGTTAAGTGAGAACTACCTGCATTTCTATTAGAGTGTTGGAATGACAGAATATTAATTTTGTTACACTGTATGAGGCAATTTGCCATTTATGCACTTGTATTCTTTACTTTAAACTGTTGATATCTCTTTTTATAACTGGCAAAACAATTGCCAGTAAATATTATTAAAATTTCTTTCCAGGGATGCGTTCCATTCATACAAAATAGGAAAATGCCTTACTCCCTTTGTCATGCGTAGAAATCCAAGATGAGCACACAACAGAGTACTGGACATGTATAATTTTTGCTAAGGAGAAAAGATGACATAAATTGGGACGTGGATGGGTGGCTATGTCTCTCTGTGTCAGTATAAACCACAGGTCGGCAACCTGCGGCTCCGGAGCCGCATGCGGCTCTTTAAGCCTTCCCCTGTGGCTCCCAACCTCCTCTGCCTTTGCAGAGAGAGACAGAGACAGAGAGAGGCAATTGCACTTCCCTGCTTCTCTCTCTCTCTCTCTCTCTCTGTGTGTGTGTGTGTCTGTGTGTGTGTGTGTGTGTGTGTGTGTGTGTGTGTGTGTGTAAAAGAGAGTGCACTCACAGTGTTCTCCGAGGAGCTGAAAAGCTTTCTGGGCGGAGCTCCTCCCTTTGCTGCGTCTCTGAAGGAAGCAGGAAGGGCAGGAGAGAGCTAGCTAGCCCAGCTAGGCTGACTCAGGAATTCTGGGAGTTGAAGTCCATGAGTCATAAAAGAGACGAGGTTGCCTACCCCGGAGGTTGTTGGACAACAGCTTGAAGCTTGCCAGGTGAGCAGCAGATAGGAGGGGGGGTGAGAAAGAGAGAGAGAGAGAAAAAGAGAGAGAGGGAGAGAGAGTGAGTGGGGGAAGAGGAGTGGCAGACCAAGGGCAGATAGAGAGGGAGGGAGAGAGAGACCCTTTTGACATCTAAAATGAAGATAACACTGCATATATCCTTTTTTTACCTGTGTGTGTATGTAATTTTATTCTCTTAAAGCATTCTTTTGATGATCATTGTTTTAATAGTATGGATATTCCCAAGAGTCATATTTTTACTTTTATTTTTAATGTGTATATGTGTCTCTCTCTCTCTCTCTCTGTGTGTGTGTGTATATATATATATATATATACGTAGGTCTTTGGTTGTTCGGGTTTTCTCCCACATAAAATTGGAAGTGTCTTGGCGACGTTTCGACGAAGTCCCATTCGTCATCTTCAGGCTGGTGCTTTCAGCTTCGTGCCTCGAGCAGCAATGTGTGGTCTTAGCTGTTTCTTCCTTTTAACTGCCAGTGGGGGTATGAACTGATTGGGTGGGAGCTTGGCTGTGTTCTGATTGGGTGGAGGTGTGTTCTGATTGGTTAGGGGCGTGGCTGTGCTCTGATTGGCTGGGGGGTTGGCTGTGCTCTGATTGGCTGGGGGGTTGGCTGTGCTCTGATTGGCTGGGGGAGTGTTCTGTTTGGTTGTGCTCAGGTTAGTCTGAGTTGCAGAGGGATTCAAGATTTTGGGCTGCCCTGCATTCCTTGGCTTCGCGTTCGTGGTCGTGCTTCCTCTTCATGGAGGGTGTCAGTTTGCTTCATGTATGGATTGGAGGGGTTTAAAGTGGCTAATGATGCAGCTGTGGTCTGGCTTCTGGTTTGTGGTCGTGCCTCATCATCGGTGTGGCTTTGGGTTTGTTTTTTGCGTGGATGTGTGGTGGTGACCTCCTGTGTGGTTTTTGTGAGTGTGGGTCTGGTATCATTTTTTGTGTTAGGGAGTCGTTTGTCAATAAGGGCGGGTTTCCAAATGGCTGGTAGGCGGGAGGTATCATCTCGCTTGTTCATGCTGTGTGGGCGTTTTTCTATCTCGATGGCTTCTCTGATTATTCTGTTATTAAAATGTTCACTTTTGGCAATGGTTCTGGTATTTTTAAAGTCAATTTCATGTCCTGTAGCTTTAAGGTGTTGGACCAGGGAAGATGTTGGTTCCTCTTTTTTGATTGAGTTCTTATGTTCTTCAATGCGTGCACTTATTCTTCTGTTGGTTTGTCCGATGTATGTGGTGGGACAAGTGGTGCATGGGATTTCGTATACTCCTTGATTTTCTAATTCAATTTTATCTTTGGGGTTTCTAAGGATGGTGGATATTTTTCTGTTTGTGCAGAATGCTGTTTTGATGTTGTGTTTATGGAGGATCTTACTGATTCTGTCTGTGGTGCCTTTTATGTATGGGAGGATGGCTTTGCCGTTTTCTTGTTCTTTGTCTTGGATTTTAGTGGGGGTTTCTTTTTGGATTAGGTTTGTAATCTTATTTCTATGGAATCCATTGGATGTTAGTACATTGGTGAGAGTGTGTAGTTCGGGTTTTAGGTGTTGTTCGTCAGCTAAGCGTTTTGTTCTGGAGATGAGTGTCTTGGCTACAGAGTTGATCTGTGCTGGGTGGTGGTGTGAGAGAGCGTGCAGATAGCGGTTTGTGTGTGTTTTCTTCTGGTAGATGGTGTGTCCTAGGGAGCCATTGGATTTCTTGTAGACTAAGACATCCAGGAAGGGAAGTTGGTTGTTAGCTTCTGTTTCCATGGTGAACTGTATTTTGGGGTGTAGGCTGTTGAGGTGTGTGAGGAAGTTGTCCAGTTTTTCTTTCCCATGTGGCCAGATTATGAAGGTGTCGTCTACATATCTGAGCCAGAGTTTGGGTTTGTGATCCGATTTTTCTAGAGCTTGGGTTTCAAAGTGTTCCATGTAGAGGTTGGCAATGACAGGTGAGAGGGGTGATCCCATGGGTGCTCCTTCTGTTTGTTTGTATTTTTGTCCATTATAGATGAAGTATGTGTTGGATAGGCAGTGGTTGGTCAGATCTAAGATGTGTTTGGGGGGGTTATATTTGTTTTGGATAGCTGTCAAGGCTTCTTTGATAGGCACTTGTGTGAAGAGGGATATGACATCGAAGCTCACTAGTAGGTCGCTGGGCTGTAAGTTTTGTTTCTTTATGATCTCTATAAACTGGAATGAGTTTTTTACGTGTGAGGTGATGGATTCTGCATAGGGCTGTAGTTGTTTGGCGAGAAATTTGGCTAGGTTTTGTAGAGGTGAGCCTATGGAGCTGACTATAGGTCTGAGTGGGGTTCCTTCTTTGTGTATCTTGGGGAGACCATAGAGTTTGGGGCATCTGGATGATTTCTCTCTGGGAATGATTCTTTGCTGGATCTCTTCGCTAATGGGGGAGGCTTTTATTTTGGATCTGGTGGTTTTTTCCAGGTAGGTGGTGGGATCTGTATTTAGGGGTTTGTATGTGGAGTCTTGGAGTAGGTTGGTTAATTTGGTTTGGTAGTCAGATGTGTTCATAACCACCGTGGCGTTGCCCTTGTCTGCTGGTAGGATTATTATGCTGGTGTCTTCTTTAAGGTTACGTAGTGCTGTCTGTTCCTCTTTGGGTAAGTTGCTTTTGGGTGGCTTGCTGGTGCAGAGGATGTTGGTGATTTCGAGTCTGATTCTGTTGGCGTCGTCGGGGTTGATTTTAGTCAGGCTGGTTTCAACTCCACATATAATGGTTTCAGTGGGGATGTGTTTGGGAGCGACTGCAAAGTTGAATCCTTTGGAAAGGACATTGGTTTCGGCTTTGGTGAGGATCCTATCTGAGATGTTATGCACTGTTTGCTTCATGTGTGGCTGTGAGGGAGGAGGGGTTTGTTTCTGGCGTTCTTGTAGTCTTCGGAGTTTGTTGGTGTGTGTATCTGTCTTGAGGGTGGTCTGTGTTTCGGCTCTCCAGACGGCAAGTTGTTTGGATTTGTCCCAAAGTGCGGGGTGGATCTTGTTGCTGAGTTTGAGGTGGAGTGTGAGGAGATCTTTGTTAATTCGGTCTAGGAGGAATCTTTTTGTGTGAAGTTCATTTCTGATTAGGGCCAATTCTGTTCTTTTCAGGATCCGTTTGGTGGCTGCAGAGTTGGAGTGGAATTTCAGTTGGAAACATGTGGGGATTAGATTTTGATCTCGGCAGTTGCGTAGGAATGCGAGGTCGCATAAAATGGAAGCTCTTTGGACTTCAAGTTTTTCATAGGTCCTGGTCAGATGGTGGATTTCCTCCCCGTAGAGGTTCAATATTTGTTTTCTGAGGTTTTCGCGGGTATTTGTATGTAGGTCTTTGGTTGTTCGGGTTTTCTCCCACGTAAAATTGGAAGTGTCTTGGCGACGTTTCGACGAAGTCCCATTCGTCATCTTCAGGCTGGTGTTTTCAGCTTCGTGCTTCGAGCAGCAATGTGTGGTCTTAGCTGTTTCTTCCTTTTAACTGCCAGTGGGGGTATGAACTGATTGGGTGGGAGCTTGGCTGTGTTCTGATTGGGTGGAGGTGTGTTCTGATTGGTTAGGGGCTTGGCTGTGCTCTGATTGGCTGGGGGGTTGGCTGTGCTCTGATTGGCTGGGGGAGTGTTCTGTTTGGTTGTGCTCAGGTTAGTCTGAGTTGCAGAGGGATTCAAGATTTTGGGCTGCCCTGCCATTCCTTGGCTTCGCGTTCGTGGTCGTGCTTCCTCTTCATGGAGGGTGTCAGTTTGCTTCATGTATGGATTGGGGGGTTTAAAGTGGCTAATGATGCAGCTGTGGTCTGGCTTCTGGTTTGTGGTCGTGCCTCATAGTCAGTGTGGCTTTGGGTTTGTTTTTTGCGTGGATGTTTGGTGGTGACCTCCTGTGTGGTTTTTGTGAGTGTGGGTCTGGTATCATTTTTTGTGTTAGGGAGTCGTTTGTCAATAAGGGCGGGTTTCCAAATGGCTGGTAGGCGGGAGGTATCATCTCGCTTGTTCATGCTGTGTGGGCGTTTTTCTATCTCGATGGCTTCTCTGATTATTCTGTTATTAAAATGTTCACTTTTGGCAATGGTTCTGGTATTTTTAAAGTCAATTTCATGTCCTGTAGCTTTAAGGTGTTGGACCAGGGAAGATGTTGGTTCCTCTTTTTTGATTGAGTTCTTATGTTCTTCAATGCGTGCACTTATTCTTCTGTTGGTTTGTCCGATGTATGTGGTGGGACAAGTGGTGCATGGGATTTCGTATACTCCTTGATTTTCTAATTCAATTTTATCTTTGGGGTTTCTAAGGATGGTGGATATTTTTCTGTTTGTGCAGAATGCTGTTTTGATGTTGTGTTTATGGAGGATCTTACTGATTCTGTCTGTGGTGCCTTTTATGTATGGGAGGATGGCTTTGCCGTTTTCTTGTTCTTTGTCTTGGATTTTAGTGGGGGTTTCTTTTTGGATTAGGTTTGTAATCTTATTTCTATGGAATCCATTGGATGTTAGTACATTGGTGAGAGTGTGTAGTTCGGGCTTTAGGTGTTGTTCGTCAGCTAAGCGTTTTGTTGACCCAAAGCCACACTGACTATGAGGCACGACCACAAACCAGAAGCCAGACCACAGCTGCATCATTAGCCACTTTAAACCCCCCCAATCCATACATGAAGCAAACTGACACCCTCCATGAAGAGGAAGCATGACCACGAACGCGAAGCCAAGGAATGGCAGGGCAGCCCAAAATCTTGAATCCCTCTGCAACTCAGACTAACCTGAGCACAACCAAACAGAACACTCCCCCAGCCAATCAGAGCACAGCCAACCCCCCAGCCAATCAGAGCACAGCCAACCCCCCAGCCAATCAGAGCACAGCCACGCCCCTAACCAATCAGAACACACCTCCACCAATCAGAACACAGCCAAGCTCCCACCCAATCAGTTCATACCCCCACTGGCAGTTAAAAGGAAGAAACAGCTAAGACCACACATTGCTGCTCGAGGCACGAAGCTGAAAGCACCAGCCTGAAGATGACGAATGGGACTTCGTCGAAACGTCGCCAAGACACTTCCAATTTTACGTGGGAGAAAACCCGAACAACCAAAGACCTACATACAAATACCCGCGAAAACCTCAGAAAACAAATATATATATACACATATACACATACACACACATACACATACACATACACACACCTATAATAAAGGTAAAAAAGGATATATGCAGTGTTATCTTCATTTTAGATATCAAAAGGGTTTTGCGGCTCCCAGTGTTTTATTTTTGGTGGGAAACGGGTCCAAGTGGCTCTTTGAGTGTTTTGGGTTGCCTACCCCGGTATAAACCAATCCTTATTACAGTCATAAACCAGTATTAGTAAATAAACAGTAATTACACATAGATCCATATCTACAAGGAATCCTTAGCCTAAATGTCACCTGAAGTATAAAATGGAAGATTGTGGGCATTACATGAACAACAAAGAAAAGTGGTTTCTAGAGGCCAGCCACGTGTTTACAATTTGCATGCTGATATAGTGCAACTGTAAAAAGTGGCAGAATGAAGGTTTTTTAAATGTTCTTTCAAGTTCCAAGTCGTTCAGAATACCCATAATTAGCTAACCAAGACAGACTGATATAATAATTTGTATGTGGAGAATTTAAACTTGCTCCTGGAAACAGTTCGATTAGGAAATCATCTGAGACTAACATACTCATATTAGGCAGAGAGACATGAAATCTCTAGAGTGGGTGATATTTTGAAAGCTAATTTTCCAAGACAATGGTACTTAAGCAAATAAATGCTTAAGATTTAAACTGATATATAGATTTCCATGAGCAAGTCTAAGAAGTGCCCCATGCCCTTATTCTTCTGCAAGTAAATAATTTCATGACATTGACTTCTTGAAATCTGGTTTCTGGACTTTGGAAATGTAGGCATTTTCTAGGAATTGATTTATCAGTTGCTTACCATAGAATCACAGACATGATAGTGACTGTTCGTATATTTGGGGTTCTCACAAGGTCCAAAATGCTGCAGGACTGCTGAACTTGGGAATTCAAATCTTCCAGCTATATAAAACAATACATGCATATGAGAATCAAACGACACCCAACATACCTGTTGGCTTATAAGCAGATAACTTGCAAACATTGCTTATTTGAAAAATACAGTATGTCAAATAAACTGCTGCAAAATTATAACAAATGGCATAGAATAATTTTCACGTAAGAACTATCTATTTTAGAATCATGGCCCAGTGTCATGTTATAGAATCAACAACCAGCAATTTCATGAAAAGGGACTGAAAGGCTTTGGACACATAGAACAGACTATTTTAATTCATGTTTTTTTCTCCAAGCACAGGAGCCTAACAATAAATAACTCACAGACTCAATATACATGGTTACCTCAGCAAGATCAAATATTACTTCGGGGGCTACAACATGGTTCCTTTCTGCAGCTTTACGAATGATATCTTCTGCTTCTTGAATCCTTCCTTGAGAGAGTAGCCAGCGAGGAGATTCTGGAATGTACCTGCAAGTATTTTATTACAAACGTCAATAGAATAACTAGAAGTACAAACCTTCTTTGATATACTTATCAGCAGATATTTTTCCCACATTATCAATCAAATACTGTTTCAGAAAAAATATTAAGAAAGCTTATAGTCAGCTATGAATGCTTGGGTTAAAAATGTATATACTCTCACATCAGAACTCCATCTTGAGGCTGGTTTTGCTGTGGAGAGGCTGAGGCTGGATCAAGGTGATCTGGAAGGAAACTAGTATTTTTCATCAGGAACTGCAGTTAAGTCCTCTTCGGGTGAGTGTTTTATGTCACACAGAAGAGGATCCTGACAGAGGTCAGTGACCTGCATGGCTCCAACTGGCTGACTGAAGGATTACCTCTCCTATTCAGCTAAAGGGCTCTATGCATCTGGGACCACTTCAGTTTTGACTGCCAGAAAAAACAGTGGTTCACTGGGCATCCAGGATGTTTTCCCACAACTTTTCTGGTCCAAAAATTACTGAAAGGACTGGCTGTCCTTAATGGAGAATAGGGAAGAGGAGGATAGCCAGGATGCCTTTTCTACAGAATTTTCTTTTTTTCCTATAAAACATAAGTTGATGGTTTTGCTGATTTGCTACCTAGGCTTGAAAAATCCAGAGATACGGCAATTTGGAGATTTTCCCTCCTCCAGATAAAGGTATAAGATCACTTGTTTTATAATGTCTGAAAATGTGTTTTTTTCCGGTAACACAACATTACTTGTTCCTAATTTTAAAGGTGATGTGATGGAAGTGATATATTTGTGAGTTTGAAAAAAAAAAAAGAGTGCTCTGAGGAAAGGCTAATATAATAATAGAAACTCTGATCAGGCCTGTAGGAATGCTCCTCCAATACCTTGGCTCTGATTGATGGAGTTAGCTGCATCCAAGCATTTGAGATGGAATGGCTAAATATATTTAAACTTGTTCTAGAAATAAAATAACTATAGACTAACAGATATTTAAAAATTTGGGGCAGGGGGAGCAGGACTCTAGAAATATTTGATAGTTTGGTGTATCTTCTCCAATTTTTAAAAGAGTACAGTGGCACCATCTTGTGGTGTAATATTTTATATACTTTTAACAAATTGTCCACAGTTGTTTAATGGCAGAATCGTTACACAACAGCTTTTTTTTTAAATTAATATTGGTTTTTGGAATTAACTTTAAACTCAGAAGAATGATTTGACTGAAGATCCTGTTGAATAAACTTTACTACAAAGTATCTTCCTATATCACACCACTGCCAAATAATAAACCGAGATATAAAATCATGGAATTGCAAGAGATCTCAAAAGGTCATCCAAATACGTATTCACAAAACATGCTTCTTAATTACATATAACCTACAATGCACTTATAGCATAGTTTAGTTTTTTTAGAGTGTTTGGGAAAATGGATCCATTTGGTTAGTTTCCAATTAATTATATAGGTCAGGGGTGTCAAACTCAATTTCACCGAGGGCCGCATCAGCATTGTGGTTGCCCTTGGGGGGCCAGGTGGATGTGACCAGAGTGGGTGCAGCCTACTGGGTGGGCGTGGCTAGTTCTACATCATTCACGTCAAGGGTGCCTGTGAGGGCGTGGGCAGGAGTGGGACAGATCTGAGGGTCTCTGGCAGAAGGGGGTGGGACCAGGGTAAGTGCCAAGGCATGGTCTACCTGGGCATGTGCCAAGATGGCCACCACAAAATTGTACATTGGCTCCCGGCAGGTCCGGGCCAGGGCCAAGGCAGCGGGGGCCATTCCCTCACTGTTTCCAGGATGGCATTGCAGGCCACATGAAACCACTTCGCGGGCCGCATCCGGCCCCCGGGCCTTGTGTTTGACATGTCTGATATAGGTAGTCCTCAACATACAACCACAATTGGACCTGGAATTTTGGCTGCTAAGTTGTTGTGGTTGTTAATTGAGAGGCCCACATGACTGCTTTGCTCAATGACCACAATTCTCACTCTCTCAGTTGTGGTCATTAAGCAATCACATGAGTGGTTAAGCAAATGGCATGGAAGAACTGCCAGCTGAAAGAGGGTAGGCAGCTCCCCTCCATGAGTGGAAGGGAACATGTGTGGTGGTCCAGAGAAATGAAGCTCAGATCCCAAAGGTCTGAGCTTACTTTCTCCAGCCCACTATAGGCCTTCCCCTCCACGTGATCCACTTTCTACCCTTCAGAAACATCGCATCAGCTAGCTTTCTAGCCAAAAACATTATGAGAGATGGCATTCTTATTGTGATTATTCTGAAAACTAGAACAATCCTTTTTCTATCCTTCAGAACCATTGTGCTTGCTAGCTGTTTGCCTGCACCTCACATCTTGGGAGTTTGGTACACCTGTCAGCAGCCGCACCAAAAGGCAAAAGTAAGTGGACCTGGATCTGGTGAGGCAGGGAGAAGCCCCGGGCCTTATGGATGTGGTGAAGCAAGGCCTCCAGTATCACAGCAGCTTTATGAGTGCTGGCGGGACGGGTGGGTGGCTGAGATGGGAGGGAAGAGACAGGCGGGTAGTGGGAGTTGCAGCATCTCCACAATATTTGAATTTCAAAGTAGATCCCATGATTGATTTATTTTATGCCCCTAATCTGTATATTGTAGAAATATATTAATACAAAGGTTATTATTAGATACAAACATTAAATGCAGAACACTGTTTTATTACTAAAGGATAGTAAAAACAAACTGTATATCAGAAAATATAGTATTTCAGCAGGACTTTTATACTTTTAAAACATGCAGTGAATGAGGACTGAATATCCTGGAGCATGACTATTGCTTATTATTGTAAAAATGTTACTAAACCCTTTCTAATAAGGTGAGCATGAACGAAATCTGGATGAATACTAGACTGTACTAGACCAAATTTGAAAGGAATGCACGTTTCCTAAGTCATTTTCTCTTGCAGGTCTTTTTCTTTCTCTAAAACTTTAGGAGAATGGGTCAGAAATTTAATGCAGTAAAGTTCTTCATTGCATAATTGCACTCATTTGCATTGCATTTAAATCCTAAATATTTATTAACAATATAATCCTAAGAGAACTGTTAACTTATTATTATGTCCTTGGGAATCCAGTCCAATTTAGCCATGGGAGGGGGGAACAGATTACTTATTAGCAATAAATAACAAAATAATAATTTAGTAGTATTTCCTATTAATAAATTAAAATGGATTGTAAAGATTAGTTGGTACTATTCTACCTTAATTATGACAATTAGCATATTTAGCCCTAACGGTATTAGTAGTAGTAGTAGTAGTAGTAGTAGTAGATAAATAAATAAATAAATAAAAAGTTGGAAGGGATCTTGGAGGTCTTCTAGTCCAACCCCTTACTCAGGCAGGAAACTCTATACCATTTCGGACAAATGGCTGTCCAGTCTCTTCTTAAAAACTTCCAGTGTTGGAGCATTCACAGCTTCTGGAGGCAGGTTGTTCCACTGATAAATTGTTCTAACTGCCAGAAAATTTCTCTTTAGTTCTAGGTTGCTTCTCTCTTTGGTTAGTTTCCATCCATTGCTTCTTGTCCTGCCTTCAGGTGCTTTGGACAATAGCTTGACTCCCTCTTCTTTGTGGCAGCCCCTGAGATATTGGAACACTGCTATCATGTCCCCCCTCGTCCTTCTCTTCATTAAACTAGACATACCCAATTCCAGCAACGGTTCCTTATATGTTTTAGCCTCCAGTCCCCTAATCATCTTTGTTGCTCTTCTCTGTACTCTTTCTAGAGTCTCAACATCTTTTTTACATCGTGGTGACCAAAACTGGATTTAGTATTCCAAGTGTGGCCTTACCAAGGTATTAGTTGCTATTAATTTGGGAAGGGCAATGGGGACTTCAAAATAGTAAACACTCACCACCACAATGGAAAATACAACAGCCCTGGAATAGTAAGAGCCATTAGCAGCAATCGCCAGTCTCGAATGAAGTAAGCACCCAGTGGCAGCATCATGTAGCCAAATGCATAAAATATGCAGACACCTAACGTTCCATATATAATGCGGATGGATTTGCCAAGAATTTCTGCACCTGTTCAAACAATTGAGAATGAATTAACATGTTTACTGTAATATACAAAACAATTATTTTATGCACAGTACTATATGAGAAAAAATGATTAAAAATACACTGAACTGTTGCTTCTTCTGTGAGTTTATATACGTCAACCATTCTTATTTGAAGAAATGCAGAATCAAATCTGAACTGGTACTTTGGAGCCAGCCTGGACACTGTTGCTCTTCCTGTCAGCCGATCTTTCAAGTCACAACTTTTTTGTAGTTTGCATTATAGGTTCACAGAAAACTATGTATTTTGTGTCCAGGAGATAGAATGCAGTGATAGCAGTGTATGAGCATACATTACCAGCATGCTGTCACTGTCTTAACTAAATACAGATTCTCCAGAATCTGCACAGCTACTGCATAAGTCCAGGAAAAGGCCCTTTAAGAAATTGCTGACAGATATAGTGATGATACCAGTGCTGGATTTGAAACACATTTTCCCACAGATACATGCACTCACAGACTTATATAGGGACAAATAAAGAGAGGGATAAGACATTGAGAGAAATTAACACATCCCATAGAAAGGATTCACAGACATGGGAAGGGAGGAAGAAAGGAGATCGAGGTGCACACCTACAAACACGTTTGCAGGAAAGAAATGGAGGAGAGGAAATTGAATCACAAAGTTAAAAAGCATTTTCCAATAGGAGAAAAATTCTTCCTCTCCTTCAAGACCATTGAGCAAACTATTCCAAAAAATTAGTAATATTTAAATAAGGAGAAATAATCTTTCACTGCTAATAAACGACTGGAGAGGGGCAAGAAGCTCACCAATTGGCAAGTGTATTGCAATCATCAGGGCCATTAGTGAGGAATAAAATTGTTCTCTCCAGCTGGCGGATACTGAATGTTGTTAATCCCCTTGCAGAAAGGATAGTTGCATAGTCACCCACTTGGGAATCTTGCCTTTAATATAGAGCAGAGCATATAAGAAGGGACAAATCATGAACAAAACATCAGAAGAGTTGAAGGATGTCTCATATGTGGTGCTTATTCTAGTTGTATACAGCAAATGTACAAACTGAATGCAAGTTTGAAACAAGAAGGTTGGCTACCAATTCTACTTTTATCAGATACATTTTTAAATTATGCTCTGTTTAGCAATGTTGGAAATACTGCTGTGGAGAAGACAGAAAGAAATTAAAGATGCCCCTCACTGAGCTAGTGAGTAAGGCTATTGAGAAGGTCTGTTTGCATTAAGACAATCACATACCAAGAACAAACGCTGCCACATAATTAGATATTTGACCCATTCCAACAATAAGAAAGAGAACAGCAAACATTTCCCAGCTTGTTGAGAAGATCTGGAGAAAGCTAAAGGCAGTCTGGATCCCCATGGTTATAAACAGGACATTCTTCCGACCAAATCTGTATGAGACAAAAAACAATAAAAGAAATCAGATGGCTATTAAATAGTTTATGAAAATACTGAACTAGCAAACTAGCATCAGAAAGAGATGCCAACTTTCAAACATATGAACAATGCTATACTTTAAATACATGAAGACAACAGTAGAATCTTCTCATGAAATTTCATTAAAATTTTAAGGGAGGAAAGATGATGATAAAGATTCTCCATGCAAGTTAAATCTAATACATAGACAAAAAACATTGGAAAATAACAGATGGTTAGATTTTAACCCCATAGAGCAGGGGTCTTCAAACTTGGCCCTTTTACGACTTGTGGACTTCAACTCCCAGAATTTCTCAGCCAGGTACGGTGGCTGAGGAATTCGGGGAGTTGAAGTCCACAAGTCATAAAAGGGCCAAGTTTGAAGAGCCCTGCCTTAGAGCAGGGCTTTTCAACTTTTTCACCCATTGTACCATTTTTAGGATATGGCAACATCCGAGAACCACCAGTTGCCTAGCAAGGTATCAAAAACTTGATGACCAAAAAAAAAAAAAAAAAAAGGAAACAAGTGGTAAAGTACAGGTAGTCCTCAACTTACAACAGTTCGCTTAGTGACTGTTCGAAGTTACAATGGCACTGAAAAGAGTGCCCTCCAAGCCACAGCCAAGCAAGACAGCGCCCGGCGGTGCTCTTCCTCCTGTCCAAAGTTTTCATTGTTGTGAGCATTTCTGTTGAGGATTGGCAGTGGGGGTGGGGTGGGGGGTGTTTGGTTTTTATTCCTCCGTCTGCTGGGTGGTTGCAGCAGATTTTGGTCACTTCACATGACCCTGGGACACTGACTGTCATAAATATCAATCGCCAAGCATCTGAATGTAAATCACAAGACCCTGGAGATGCTGCAACATTCCAGCTGATTGGCGCTTCTTCTGGGCTCAGCAGAAGCGTCAGGATCAGTGCCGAACTCCAGCTGGAGCCTGGCGTTGATCCTGGCGCTTCCACTGAGCCCTGACAGTCCCGAAAAAGCACCAATCAGCTGGAAAGCGGCACTGATCCTGGCGCTTCCGCTGAGCCCTGACAGCCCTGTAGCTCCAGCCATCTCTCACGCAGGCTTGTGTGGTGCTGCCACTGGTTCAGCTCATTCCCCTCCCCCGCTATCACTTTTCTAGGATGGTCGTGTACCACCTGCCAGGTGCCAATGTACCACAGGTCATATCCATACCACTGGTTGAAAAGCCCTGCCTTAAGAGTGACCAAGGAGGTGGGAAAAGGCAAAATGGCATTTCTACTGGCAGCCCCTTCACCCTGGAAATAGGTTACACTGTGAAGTCAGGCTATTTTCCCTATTTGATTGTTTGGAAAACAGAAGAAATACTAACAACTATGGAGATTCTCATTCATCCAGGTCATGATTGTCCCAAAGGTGCTTTTTCTAAAAGGCAATTGAGCAACTTCTTGGATGAAAAGCAAAACATTCTCAAAGAAAAAAACCCAAGAAAGCCCAATTGCCTATTGAAAAAGCATCTTTGGAACGAGAAATACAGAAATCCAGAATTGTCATTGTGAATGAGTTGTGCATGAAAATAATAAATACAGAACTTATTATATATATTTTTACCTGTCTGAGAGCTGTCCAGATATAAAGGATCCCAACAGCACACCCACGAACAATAAGGAAACAGTTAGTGGTGCTTTCCAGTCATTGTCACAAACAAGTTTCCACTAGAAAAAAAAGAGGTTTAGCATTTTAACTTGCTTGTAAATTTTTTTAACTTGTAAAAAATGCTTTCCCAATAATCATTCCATAACCAATTACATTATTAAAAAAGGTTTACGGTTATCTATTATCATTTTCACATAAAAACTATCCCCTTAAATTCTTATCTGTCAAAGCCTTATATTACGCCTTCACAAAGTTAATATTCTAAAGAGAGCAATTATACAAATAGTTAAACAAATATTCATCAGAATTTGGGGGGGGGGACAAATAAGTCACATGTTGGTTATTCACACAGGGCCTTGGTTTTTAACCTCTGGTTGCTTTAAAAATGTTTAGTAAGTATACTGACCAAAATACTAAAACAAAACAGCATTGACTGGCCATAAAAACGGCAACAACTACTGCAGGGTGAACTTTTCCTATTCATCTTTACAGACAGCCATTTGTCTATAGTACTTCATTCTATCACCATCTCCTTTTTTCCATTTCTCCCCACTTCAGTCAACCAACACTCTGTAAACAATGAGCAAATTAAAACTATATTTGAGTCTCTCAGGATTGATTGGTTTATTTGCGTTTTCATTTTTATTTTAGACAGCCTCTGGTATATGCATAACTAATTATTTTGACTATGTAAGGGCCAACATTTGGAGAAGCAAGACTGCTATTTGTGTAGATGTCACACACATAAATTATATAGCCTGCTGGTCACTATGAGTAAATAGGAATTTTCCAAGTATAGTACACTTTGAAAATAAACACTAAATGTTAATACTAGGTTTCCTCATTGTTTTCATAACAACATAAGCAGTTAATTGCCAGGCATAACACACAAGCAGTGTTAATTATAGCAGAAATCAGCACTTCATTTTGTCCCAGACTTTTCAAGCAGTTGCTAGTGGTCATTTTAAGTTAGGTTTTCAAATGCCCAGAACAGCAAAGCTCTTTATTTATGTCTAGTTAAAACACATAGTTTTGCACAAGAACAGAAAATGAACCAGATGGCTAATTTTTGTGAACTGCCTTTATTAATATCACCTTTCAATAACATTTACTTGGCAGACACAGATCAGATCAGTGTAGATAAACAAAGGGTCAAGAAAGAAAAAAAAAACATGAAATGCTATATAACCTGAAGCCAAATTTTTACAATACTATATGTCATATATAGTTATTTAATTTTGGCTGTGCACATGGCATGAATATAGCCAATTAATTCATAAACCATGTTAATGGCTTCATATGTTCCAGAAAGCCAACTAACTATAATTTATTCAATAAAACAAAATTAAACAAACTGAAAATTTGCTTGGTACAACATGTGATTTCAATCTATATTCCTAGTGATTATAAACTACAGTAGGAAAACCAGTTTTTAATATCACAAATTATCTATTACCACATGAATAAAATGTAAATACTGAATAATCCAGAATGAAACAAGCAAAACGGGTTAAATTCTACATTGTTACTTCATTCAGTTTCCCTATTTGTAAGAATAGGGGAAAATAATCAATATTTATTTCTCTGACCAGATTTTACAAATATCTTTCAGAACAGCAGAACTCATCACCTTTATCATCCTGGGAACAGAAATCAGCTGACAGGGAACAATATTAAATATCACTGAAGTTATATTTGCACAGCTTCCACCATTACCACGCAAATGCAGAATTATACTATGACAGAGAAATGTTGCTTGGACTGAATACAGTACTGTATAGTATATCAGGCAGAAATTATTGTCATTCTCTAATGCTTTCCAAGATAGGTTACTGAAGTTCACTGACCTATAAGAGGCTGCACACTTCTTACAGTACTATATTTAATATTATTTTTTTAAACACAATGCACAAAATATAGAAAGTTGTAGTAAAAGAAAACTTAGTCAATACTTCTCAAACTTTAGTTACTAACGCCAAGGGTGTTCTGAAAAAGACCTGGATCTTTCCCTGGCATTTAGCAAGGGTGAGTGAAGCCTGCTTGGATAGTCTGTTTTTTTTTTTCCTGTTCCTATCCAATTTCTGTCATCTTTGCTATATTTTACTCTTTTTCTTTCTTTGTTGTAATTGTTTAAAAATGTTTTTACTTGTAAACTGCCCAGACTTGGATGGTACACAAATGTAATAAATAAACAATTCAAAAGGATTAAATTCAGAGATGACACACAGGAATATGCAGAACAGTCAGTCAGCCCATCAATCAAATTTATTGCAGTCTCAGGGCCAATCAGGATTCTTTTTCTCAGTCTAGGAATTCAATAATGACAGAGGAGGAGGAGGACACTGAACAATTGAGGTCCTATTTAACATAGCATCCAATGGCATGACACCAAAATATGATGTAGATTATTCAGCATGTGATATTCACTTTGCCTGGCAAATACTTGGGGATTATATTTATAACCTCCAACCATATTCAAATGAATTAAAATATATCCCGAGAATATCTCGTGACAGAAAAAGTGTGTTTAATTTTGCTTTGCTATAACCTTTTAAAAATACTAATAAGATATTTTTTATTCAAATGCGATATTTGTTTCCCCCCCCCCCCAAACAATAGAGAAAAATACTCTCAAACTATGGACTCACTTGGATTTTGGATACTTTTTGACTTCCTTGCTTTCAACAATGTAACTGATAATGGGCTGAAACATGTTCATCTGAGTGACAGTTAATAATACAATCTTCTAGAACATTGCTTCTGCAATGAAAAGCGCATTTAAAATAAAATTCACCTTTCAGAACCAACAATGAAACATAAATTCGTTAGACTAAAAGTGTGAGGTATGGAAAATGTGTTGCATCCCATTTATTCATGTGTCAAATTTATATATGGTACATATAAAAATGTATGGACCACTAATTCTTTACATCAGAAATGGGCTGTGTACGACCCTCCATTTAATGTATAAGTCCCATCAGCCTTAACTTGAATGCTAATTGGGAAAAGAGAAGACACCAAATGCCCTGACATGGGGGCATAAAAGTGGCATATTTAGAATAAGGTAAAACAATCATCTGTATCCACTTAAAGAAGTCCACAAAGCTCTTGTATGAGAAACCCGATTTTGCTATTCAATTTTTCTTCTGTAACATTGGAGGTATGGCAAGATTAGAAGCTGCCATGTAATAACCTCATCTTAAGTACCTATCAGTTTACCCTTTGCAGTTCTATTGGATAAGATATATATAGTCCCATTATTGCATGTTATTGTCTCTCCATGGCAGCTGATCCAATTTACATTTGGTTCAGCTATAATGCAAGAAAAAATATCCCAAAGTTAGTTTTCAGCTGGAAATAATGATGGTTCTGAGCATGTCTTCCCAGCTTCAGGCCATTGTAATAGATTATATAAGGAGAATGCTGCCTTGACAGCATTGGACTGCATCTTCTGCTCCATAGCTTAGCCTCCGCCTAAGTAACCCAGGCAAAGAAAGCAGACCTGAAAATGGTTAAGACTACCAGCTTTTCTCCTTTTATCCCAAAATCAGCTGTTGAAAAGCAGCTGCAGAGGTTTTCAATTTTTCTCCCTTTCTTACCCTTTCATGTAGAGCTGTGGGATTTTGGTTGTTCAGCTTTTAGAGTATTTTTCACCTGTTTCAGTAATTCTGAATTGGCAGAATGATTGTAAACTGCTTTCAAACACTTTTGGAGCAAACTGAGAAATGAAAACAGCTCTCAAAAGAAACCAGCATGGTTGCATAAAGAAATGAGCCGAGGTGGCGCAGCAGTTAGAGTGCAGTACTGCAGGCCACTTTAGCTGACTGTGTTCAGCAGGTCAGCGGTTCAAATCTCACCGGCTCAAGGTTGACTCAGCCTTCCATCCTTTCGGGGTAGGTAAAATGAGGAGCCAGATTGTTGGGGGCAATGTAAATATATATATACATTGCTTACTGGTGTACACTGCTTAGAGAGTGCTTGCACTTAAAGCGGTATATAAGTCTCATAAATAAATAAATAAACTCTCTGATAAATTGAAAGATAAAAAGGACAAATATAAAAAGTGGAAAAAGGGGCACATAACTAAAGCAGAATATCAGCACATAGTCTGAGCCTGCAAAGATGAAGTGAGGAAAGCTAAGGCTCAAAATGAACTAAGGCTTGCAACCAAAGTCAAAAATAACAAAAAAAGCTTCTTTCAACATGTAAAAAACAAGAAAAAAGTGAAGGAAATGATTGGTCCATTAGTGTGAGAAAGTGGCAAGAAGGTGACAAGCAACAGAGAGAAAGCAAAACTATTTAACTCATTTTTTGCATCTGTCTTTACACAAAGGGAAAAAACAGACCAACCTATCAAAAATAGTGCCATAAAAAACAGAACAGAAACACAAGTGAAGATAGGCAAGAAAATGGTAAGTGAGCACCTATCCAGTCTAGACGAGTTCAAATCGCCAGGACCAGATGGATTACACCCCAAGGTCCTCAAGGAACTGGCAGATGTGATCTCAGAACCACTGAACTATATTTTTCAAAGATCCTGGAGCACTGGGGAACTACCAGAGGACTGGAAAAGAGCTGATGTAGTTCCCATCTTCAAAAAAGGGGAAACAAATGGATCCAGGAAATTACAGAACTATCAACCTGACCTCAATACCTGGGAAGATTCTGGAAAAGATAGTCAAACAACGAATCAGCAAACATCTAGAGGCAAACAAAATCATTACAAAAGCCAACATGGGCTTGTCAAAAACAGATCTTCTTGCATTCTTTGACCAAGTGACAAAATTAGTGGATCAGAGGAATGCTGTGGATATAAATTACTTGGACTTCAGTAAGGCATTTGATAAAGTAGATCACAACCCACTACTTGATAAAATAGAAAAATGCGGGTTAGACAGCATCACCACCAGATGGATCCATAGCTGCCTGACCGGCCATACTCAGCATGTGGTCCTCAATGGAGCCGCATCTACATGGAGGGAAGTGTGTAGTGGGGTGCCCCAGGGCTCTGTTCTGGGCCCAGTGCTCTTCAACATCTTCATCAACGATTTGGACAAGG